GACCTTATTGAAGCCTTCCAGTACTTAAAGGGGGCCTACAGGAAAGCTGGAGAGGGGCTTTTCACATGGGCGTGTAGTGACAGGACAAGGGGCAATGGCTTCAAACTGAAAGAGGGCAGATTTAGATTAGATATAAGGAAGAAATTTTTCACTGTGAGGGTGGCGAGGCACTGGAACAGGTTGCCCAGAGAAGCTGTGGCTGCCCCATCCCTGGAAGTGTTCAAGGCCAGGTTGGATGAGGCTTTGGGCAATCTGGTGTAGTGGAGGGTTTCCCTGCCCATGGCAGGGGGTTGAAACTAGGTGGTCTTTGAGGTCCCTTCCAACCCAAACCGTTCTGTGATTCTATGACTCTGATCATACCTAGGTCTTAAAATGGGAACAACATTACTTCAGCAGAATTCTCACAATGGATTCTTGCTGTGGAATTTTGGTTCTGTGATGTAAGATGAAGCAGATGTCATGCAGGCAGCAAAGATTTTTGACTCATTGAATAAGAGACAGGGAAGCAGAGTTCCCAACTAAAATACTGTTTGCTCAGTGACCCCTTCAAAGTGCTTCACATCCTTTCTGCAAGGCTCAGCTCCTAGGATCCCTAAAAAAAAAAAGTTATTTTATGATTCCCATATTCCCTACTATTCTTAGTCTTCAGGGCACAGGATTGTCAAAGAATTCCCTTGTCACAAAGGTATTACAGTCAAACACAGGTGTAACGGTGTTTTAAGGGAGGTGGTTTGATGGTAAATGAGTAAATGTATTTCTGCATGTAAACTAGGAAGTAGAATGCACGGCTCATCTGTGGTACAGAAAAATTCAGGGATTCAGGTGTAGCATCCTTGCCCTAAGATGCCCATGATGTCCACCATTTCAGTGTGAGAGATCCACAGGTTCTTCTGTTTCCATTATGCTCATCTCTTAGGCTGTGCTTCAGATAGATACAGAGCTCTTGAAAATTAATAATTGTAACAGATTGCACTTGGCAAACGGCATTACGAGCATTGTTAATCTGTCTTGAAATTTAGGCAATGCCTGCAACATTATTATTCTTTACGTGTCCTCTGTCCTTCAAAATGGCACATTTTTCTTCTGATATTCACCTCCTACGTTATTGATTCTCTTAAATTCTGTCTCAGTAGCTTCCTAGAAGTTTCCCTTCTGGCTGGAGTAGGGATGGGACAGTCTGTTTTTTGACACCACTATCCAAAAAGGTTTTTGTGAACGTGCTGCAGCATTTGGAATGGTATAGAATTCGTGGCATTTAACCCTTAGCTGAGTTTTTGGCAGAATCCAGAAATGAAATGAGATTGTGGATTGGGACAGCTCTACAAGAAGTGTTATGTGAATTTATATCCTAAAACAACATGAGGCTAGTGCAGGAGTTTTCTGAAGTTGTGTGAAGTATATGTGGGGTTTGTGGTTATTTGGAGGAATGTTCACTTACCCTGTTTTTCTAAGTACTCGGCTGTATTGGTGTGATTTTATATTTTAGATTTGTAGTAAAATTGTGGACAGGTCACGGACTACTTGTGACCCTAGGCAAATAGTTTAAACCCTGCGCTTCATATCCAAAGTGTAGAAAAGAATACATATTTTTTTAAATTTGGATTTTTTAAGTGTTCAGATTAAAAAGTGCTGGATTAATATATATTGTTAGTGATATTTATTTAGAAACTCAAAGAACACTTCACTGAAGAAGAGCTGACAATATGTTTTTACGGCTAATATAAGCCTCTCTGTGTTTACAGAAAAATAGACGAAACTTCTTTCTCAAAGGGCAGACCCAGATTTTGTGTGTCAGCTTAATAGCCCATTTTTCAATCTTGATTGTTCAAGCAGTTTGTGTTTGTTTTCACCAGGAAAATTCAAAATAGCTGCTTGATTCTTATGAAGAGAATCAGCACATTTTCTTTCATTATGGCTCAGCTGATTTTAATCTTTTTTTTTCCTCAAATCCTTAGTTAAAAAACTACAAATGGAGCAACAAAAAAAGATGGATGTTTAATCTCTGGTAACAACTTAGGAGTTCCCAGAATGCTCGGATGGATAATTTTCTTCTATCCCATTATTCACAGGGTACTCTGATAGGATTTAGCCAGAAAGATTTACATATAAAGACAGGATTACAAGCCTGTGTTCTTTCTATCTCCTTTACAAACCTTTCAGAATTTCAGAGGATTCAGGGTCCCTCAGCCTACCCAGAGCTTTTTCCCAGCAGATATCCCTTTTTGTCCTAGAAGTTTGGAATGTAGGTATTGTTATTGATCTTCTGTGCCAGTGGCCCTTAATGCCTTTTCGTGTCAATGTTCTTGTGAATTTTTTCTGCCGTGTTTACTCTTCTCTCTGAACAGGTGTTATTTGAGCTTGCCCGGTACCATGCTCCTTCCACAATTTTCCTGGATGAGCTGGAGTCAGTTATGAGTCAAAGAGGCCCTATTTCTAGGTAACTGATGAGACCACTTCCTACGGCTTTAGGAGTGTATTTGTCCCCCTTTTACTGCATCTTTTCAATAGTGCACGTTTAATCCTACAGTGTGCCCATTAGAAACAAATCTTGGCTGTGATAAAGCCCGAGACTGCTCCATCAACTTCAACAGGAGCATGACTGGTCCCCTGAAAGACTTGTCTTTTAGATTTTTTTGACATTATAATTACTTTGAGTGATAGCAGTAATTTTCTTGACTCTTTGTTAAGAAATTCTTCTTTTGTTCTGTTATCACCTTTAGGAGCCTCGTAGTGGTCGGAAAGCCTATCGGATCTGGAAGTGCTGGTTTATGGAAGCGTTGCGTACGCTGTGGGGGTTTAAAGAGCGAGGTGTAGCGGTCGTTTCAGTCATGGTAGATGAGATCAGTAGAGAAGCAAGAGTGAAAGACAGGTTGTGTGAGGATTAGCAAGGGACTATGGATCCAGCAAGACAGTGGGAAGGAGGGAGGTTTCAAGAGTGTCCAGCCAGTGGTATTGTATTTTAAAACAGGAGGTTGGAAGTGGAAATAAAGGCAACGGGGAGGAAACAAGAGATGACTTGTTAGAAGTGAGTAAGAAGCAGCTGATTTTGTGACACTTTAGACAGATTTAGGTGTAGCAGGCTAAGATGGAATGTACGTAGTGGAGTGGCGTTTCCATTGATGGGACAAATTTTGGTGGCATTGTCAGGACTTCCAGAAGCAGGATTGTGAGGGTGTTATTATTGTCAACCGTGGTGTAGACAGTTTATAGTTAAAAACAGATGGAAAAGGTTAGGGGTGGGGAAGAAGCAGGAGAAATATAAAAATATTGTTATAACCATCAGGAGCCAATTACAGTGGATTTATGTACTGTAAATTATATGCTCACAAAGATTTATAAATAGAATGTGCCGTATCGTAAAGATGCAACTTGTACTAATTGTCAGTTAATAGCTATATATTATGGGCCAAATTTTGCCTCCATATACACTTTTAAAAGCTCTCATTAACATCACTGGATTATATATTTTAATAAGGACTTTTGTCTAAGATTATTTAGTTATTTTTACATATCCTTATTAAATATTGACTTGGCACTGGTGCGTGGATGCCTTTGCAGAAACAAGCCATTAAACCTGAACTGTAGCTCTTACCATCTAAGGCCCTGATGTTTTCTCTGGGTTTGATCCAGGAGTTTCCAAGAACTCCACATCTGGGACCAAGAGTTCAAATCGGTTTCCTGCAAAATTGGTTACCTGGATCACGGCCAGAACTCTTAGCGCTTTGCTTAAGTTCCCCTTCTCTTTTTGAGGAAGGATCCTTTCTGTGTGGTCTCTGCTCCATTTTTAAAATTAATTTCAATACGGCATATTTTTCTGTTTGCTTTTGAGAGAACATTTTGCAAAATATTGAATTCAATAGTAGTTGTGTCTGCTTGTGGCCACTTAACATTCGCTCAGAATAAAATGCCAGTAGCTGCCCTGAATAGGTAGGTGTGTTAGTTATTTAATGGCATCTATCACATTATAAAAATTCTCTTATAAGGATCAATCAATCAGAGCCTTAGCTCTTTTCCAGTAAATGCCAATGTTGCTTGGAGATTAATATGAAGGAAAAAAATAAAAATAAATATTTTCTTTGGATTCACTACTAGTGAATTCTCCTCACTTTAATGCACTGAAAAGAGTCCATTTAAGTAATCATTAGAAGCTTGATTTTAATGCTTAGATGTTAGCTAATGGAGCTTAATCATCCTTTGAACTGGGGCAAAACTGTGACAAGGGCTCAGTTGCTGTGAATGACACTGTATAAATAAAGATGATTACTTTAATGCACTGAGCAAATAATGTTTCTCTGAATCTTGGTAGTGGTGAACATGAAGGAACTCGGCGGATGAAAACAGAATTACTGGTGCAGATGGATGGCTTGGCCCAATCTGATGATCTTGTATTTGTTTTAGCAGCTTCCAATCTGCCATGGTAAGAGATCCAGAGAGTACATTTTGAATACATTTGCATGAGCTTCTAAGCACAGATAAAGATTTTATTTAGACTTTTGCAGAAAAGCCTTGATATTTGGTTAAAGCATTTAAAGATTAATTTGGAGCTTTTACTTTTAAACTCTACAATTCTTGCTATTTGTGCCACATGAGAATAATCCATAATAAAGCCAACATATGCTGGTGCTACCAGCTGCTAATATTTAAAATGGAGTATTTGACTTTATAGGCAAGTTATTTACTATGTTTAAGCTAAGAAGGGTTTCAGCCTGAAACTGTAAGGTGCTTAAAACATCTAGTGCTTAGAAGGATACTCCGTAAATAGGAATGTTGGGTTTTGTTGATACCAGACGTTTTAAAATTTGAGGGACAAAATTCTTCAGTTTCTTTAACATAATTTATAGTAGAAGAATAAAGGGCTTAAGATTGAAACTAGGGCACTTCATCGTGTTGGTTCTCAAAATGGGAAGTGTATTGAGAGCGAGAGACAGGAGAAGAAGAGATAGAGAGGTAACATTTGTAGTGTAACAGCTGTGGATGCTGGGGGAAGGCCAACAGACAGCAGAAAATGGCCAGCTCGTGTGCTTTCCTCAAATAGTTTCTCCCCTGGCTGCTGTCAAATCCAGCACCTTGATCTGGCTTGATCATTCATCTGAACTAGTACAGTGAATATTTTTCCTTCGTACAAACCGTTATCAAACGGTTGCAAGTAGTACATGGGGGGAAAACAACGGCTGTTGGTTGAGCAAAGCTGGTTTTAACAGTCTGATCTGTAGCTCACTGTTCATTGTCCAGAGTAGAAGCCAACACTTGTACAGGGAATTGAAGCACATTGCTGATGGGCTTGTTTCTGAAGTTAGTTTTCATAGGTCTGGAACTAGTCGGTGTATTTCTGCCTGCCCCGAGGTTCCTGCTGCTCCTGGGCTACTAATCCATGAAATCTGCAGTAGATGAACGTCTCTTTTCC